CTCAGCGGGAAGCCTGCTTCTCCCTCTCCCACTCCCCCTGCTTGTGTTCCCTCTCTCTCTGTCAAATAAATAAATAAAAATCTTTCTGTTAAATAAATAAATAAATAAAAATCTTAAAAAAATTTTTTTTAATTATACAAAAAGACCTGAATCTGTTTGCCTTATAAAAAGCTAAAATATTGCAGATAAAGGCAAAGTCGTTTTCAACCATAATTCCCAACCCAGGTCAGGTTCCTACTTCCCCGGAGATCATCTTTTTGGGGTAGAACTTCAAATTTGTTTGCGGTATATCTATGCATTTTCAAATATGCGTGCGTGTGTGTGCATGTGCGTGTGCAGGGCTAGTATCTATTAAACTTAAAACCTGAGAATCCTGCCCATGCATATATGCTCAAGGAGGCAGGTCCAGCTTGGTCCACTGCAGCACTGCTTGTACTTTTGAAAAACTGGAAACAGCCTCACATCGGTCAACTGAGAATGACTAACTAAACCACAGGCCCTTTTCTTGGATGGATCACGGTGGGCCCCTACGTGCTAACCTGAAATGCTTCTCAACCGCCAACAACACATGCCACATGATAACATTGATATTAATAATATAAAGTTCACTGATCCAAAGCCTATGCGAGACATTGGAAGCTGAGCATTTGAGTGAAGAGGCAGATGAGTCCAGGTCACTCAGAGGGGCCACAGAGTACACACCAACCAGACAGTGTGACTTTCTGTCTGTAGTTCAGCTCCTTCTTCTTGCCCTTCCCTCTTCCTTTTTCAGGCTGTTCCCATAGACCAATGTTCCCAAGGTGGCCAACCCCTCTTCAGATCCTTCTCAGGAAGGAGATGAGGCCACAGAGTGTAGCCACAGCTGCTTATAAATGTAGAGTAATGGAATCCAATCTCCCACCCAGACATGTGGGAGCCAAGAGCCAGTACATGGTGCCCCAGAAGCTGGGCCAGGCTGGGTCAGGTCAGGACTTGCACTTGGGTACCATTCAGGGAGCAGAATGTGATATGAAGAGAGGCAAGGTTTGGTGGGAAAATCCTAAATGAGAGCTGCTGAGCTGATCACTATTAATGCAAAGAGCCTTGGTGAATTCAAAGAGAAGCCGTGACTCTCAGTACACATCCGTGTGGAAAGCAATGGAAAGATGAGAAAGTTTAAGTAGAAGGTGGCAGATAGAAGCGAAAGATTTCTTTCTTCTTTTTTTTTAAAGATTTTATTTATTTATTTGAAGAGAGAGAGAGAGAGAGATCACAAGCAGGGGGGAGGGGCAGAGGGAGAGAGAGAAGCAGACTCCCCACTGAGCAGGAAACCTGATATGGGACTCAATCCCAGGATCTTGGGATCATGATCTGAGCCAAAGGCAGACACTTAACTGACTGAGCCACCCAGGCACCCTAAAGGGAAAGATTTCTGGAGCCAAGGAGAAGAAAGTGATCCAGCTGCTTTTCGTAGATGCTTTTGGGGAAGGAGGTTTTCTGGGCAGGAACCTAACTTAGGCAAAAGACTACTCTAATGGATTTTTAAAACCTAAAGATCTTGTTTATGTTAAAATCCTTTAAAGAAAAGCATCATGTAAAAATGAGATCATGAAACTGCACTGTGAGCATATGAACATCTGCATCATTGTATCTGAACCAAAACCCAAACACCACTCACTTTTTGAATATATGTAATTAATATATATTATATATGTAATATATGTATATATAATTATCATGTTCCTATGGTGAATTTTTAGGAATGTGGTTTAAATTCAAACCAAAAGCCAAAGATTTATTTTCTGTATTTCTTGCTTTAGACTGTGGTAAGCGTCAGGAATGAACTGTGGAGAACTCATGAATCCATTAACACACTCCACAGGGAAAGAAGGTAGGACCCACGTGTGAATGCACAAACATTGACAGCAGAGACAAATCAAAAGCATTTCCCTTTGCTTTTATGGGAAAAAATTCTACAAAGATGCTTTTTTTTTTTTTAATTTAGAAGAAATTCCTTAAGCAGAGAAATAGTAAGCCCAATAGGAAGGTAAAAAGGGGGCTTTGGCTCTATTTCAGTAGTTAAGGATAACCTAAATTATCTGGCTAATTATATTAAGGCCGGGGGATGGGGGTGGGGAACAGCATAGGAAAAAGAGAGAAACTATTATCACTGGTGGTCATAAGAAGCACAAGACTGCCTAAAAAACCGGCCAGAGATGACTTCTAAGAATGTATCTTTGTTGTCTGCTCTCAAATCCCTGGGCTGACTCCTTTCTGAAAAATCCATGATAAAGATATATTTGAAACTCCACTTATGAACAAGGATTTTAGAATCAGACTCCCATTTCACCTGAGTGTGACTGCCTGGAAGTTTGAGGGCTCTCCTTCAGAGATGCCCACACTGGGTGGGAGCCCAAACCAAATTCCAAGACCTCTTCTAGATCTTGGTAATTGGTAATTAGGAATTTCAAAGGCTCTAACATTGAGAAATCTTGTTGCATTTCCCACCAGCGAGATAATTTCTACAAATTCCACAAATATGCCAACCACACTGATTAAAGATAAGATTGTACTTTACTCAGCCAATTTTAATTATATATGTACTCTGTAACAGGGACTATTTTAGGCCTGGGCTGGGGGATATAGAGCAACAAGCAAAAAAGAAGAATAAAGTTGCCAGAATAAAGAGACAATAAGCAATTGTTAAATAATAGAGTAAGTAATATATAAGTAAAATAAGAAGTAAAATAGGTCCTATGTCATATAATGTGACTGTCCAGAGGTTTGAAGACTGAAGATGAAGTCCAAAATCTCAGACTGTATCAAGCTCTGTAGCAATTAGACATGGAGACAAAGTAGGGAAGGAGATAGGAGGTGCCGGAGGCAAGGTTGGGGGTCCTGGTTTGCAGTTTCAAGTAGGGCAATCAGGGATGGTCTCATTGAAAATACGATGGTGAGTGACAACTTGAAGGATGTGAGAAGTAAAGAGAGAAAGAATTGGGGAAAGGAAGGTTCCAGGCAGAGAAGCCAAAGAGCAGACTCTCAGGGGAGGACATGCCTGGTGTGTCCAGAGTAGCCACGAGTTCTGTGTGCGCAAGAGGAGGCAGAGAGCAGGTGAAAGAGGAAAGAGGGTCTTGGCCAACTGTTGGGCCTTGGCTTATAAGGACTTGGCTTATTTTAATAAGGAGGGGGACCATTGGAGAGTTTTGAGCAGAGGAATGACATGATCTGGTTTATGTTTTATTTTATTTTATTTTATTTTTTATTTGGTTTATGTTTGTTTGTTTAAGTGTTTTAAAAAAAATGGCCCTGACTGCTTGGTTCATTTTTAAACCAGTAAACAACTAGACTTAGGAAGAGAAGCCAAAACAGACTGGCAATCCGTGAATGGCCTGCCTCCTTGTTCCTTCCCTATCCTGGTCAGGTGTTAGGTGTTTAGCCATGACATGTTTACTGTCATTCTAAATGGAGTGATTCCAGACGAAAGGATAACAAATCAAGCCAATATTCAAATTTAAGTAGCTAGTCAAGGTATGCTGTTAAAAGTACTCCGCAACAGGCATGATGAGTTTTCTAGAACACTTCTAATGCCAATGAAATTCTTGGTGGAATCATGTACGTAAGAGGCACGAAGGTCAGCAGTGTGTGGTGAACGGTCAAACGGTATAAAACAGCATTGATCAATGTGAAATAATAGTGGAGGCACAGGCTTCTCCAGCATCTTCTCCCACAGAGAGGACTTACAGCACATTTTGCTAGGGAGCTAGTTAGTGCGCTGGCCTCTTGCCCTCCCCACCCACTCAAACGTGTCCTCTTTGCAGATTCCTTAAAAAACAGTTCAACCACTACAAAGACAAGTTGCAAGCCGTCTATGCCCCACAGGAAGAAAAAAGTTGCAGATTTGAGACCAAGATTCCCGAACTTACAGCCAACCAGGATAGCCTGTGGACCCAGCTACAGCAGATGGGGCAGGATATCCAGGTATGAAGTGTGGACCATCCGGAAATCAGACCTCAACTGCTCTGGCCGTGGGAGGACTTCAGCCTGAAACTTCTCACCTCACTTTGATTAGCCTCTTCTCTTTCCCTCTTCTCTCCATACCCTCACCTCCTCCCACTTTTCATCCTCAGTCTCTATCCTCCCCATTCTTGAAGGCAGTACCACTAGGAGACTTGGTGTTACCCTACAGGTGCCAGTTAGAAACTCTAGATCTAGAGCAAAGTGGTCCTTTACAGCATTGATGCTTAGCCTCTTGGTCTCTGCATCCTTTTTACATTCTTAAAACATTTTGAGGATCCCAAGGAGCTTTTGTGAGTTACATCTATTGCTCTTTACCATGATCAAAATTAAAAGTGAAAAGTGGCTTAAAAGTGTATTAACTTGGGGCACCTCGGTGGCTCAGTTGGTTAAGCGACTGCCTTCGGCTCAGGTCGTGATCCTGGAGTCCTGGGATCAAGTCCCGCATCGGGCTCCCTGCTCAGCGGGGAGTCTGCTTCTCCCTCTGACCCTCCTCCCTCTCATGCTCTCTGTCTCTCATTCTCTCTCTCTCAAATAAATAAATAAAATCTTTAAAAAAAAAAAGTGTATTAACTTAAATATGAAATAAACCCATTATATATGTAACAGTTTTAAACAGTAACTACGTATTTAAAAAAAAATAAAACTTAGAAGAGTGGCATTGCTTTATATTTTTTTAAAAAAATTTCTTTAATATCTGGGTTAATGAAAGACAGATTTTCATAACTGCTTCATTCAGTCTGTTGCAAGATGTTGTAGTTGAAGTACATGAAGAAATCTGGCCTCATGGAGATTTGCAGTTGAAAAAGAATAATATTTTAATAGTCTTTTCACATCATTGGAGATCTTTTTCTTTGGTAGTACACCAATACATAGTAAGTGCTTGTTTCTTAAAGGAATGCTGAAGCATTATATCTGAAACCGTATTTACCTCACACTCTGTTTGATTAAAATACAATGTTCTGTTGTGCTCTTTGAATGAATTTTCTACCCATGCATGATTTTGTAGCATGATACACTGGTAATTTGGAAGTTCACTGAGCTATGCCAAGCTTCCTAATGCTCATTATACAATGTCCACCCCCCTGCCAAAAAAAAAAAAATCACATTCATTAATATCACCACTAACCTCATTGGGAAAGTCTTTAGGAATTGGAAAGTTGTTATGCACATGGCGATGAATGCAAGTTTTCTAAAATTCTGATTTTTGCTTAAAAACTCAGTTCTTAAAATTGGCAATACATGTTGTTAATTATTTCCTTACTGTGCCAATCTCACTTCACTCATTTTTGAGAAAATATTTGCCAAATATCCAAGTCTTGAATAACAGTCTGCAAGTCATTCTTTCACACAAAAGGCAACTTTTGTGTTTCAATAATATTAGAGGTATTTTACACACTTCCCATTTCATCATACACAATATTAAAAAGACAAGTTATAGTTAAGAAAATTAGGAGTTTTTGTCACACCATCAAGGATATTCTTGGGCGCCTGGGTGGCTCAGTTGGTTAGGTGTCTGCCTTCAGCTCAGGTCATGATCCCAGTGTCCTGGGATCGAGCCCCGTGTTGGGCTCCCTGCCTAGCGGGGAGTCTGCTTCTCCCTCTCCCTCTGCCTCTCCCCCTCTGCTTGTGCTCTGTCTCTAGCTTTCTCTCTCTCTCTCAAATAAGTAAATAAAATCTTAAAAAAAAAAAAGGATATTCTTAAGTGGAACTGTTCGTTGTTGTTATTTGGTTGGCTGGTGTTTCAGCTGTGAGCGCACGATGGTGAAGAGTACCATGACCACTAGCACTGTCTGCGGCTGCCTTGGTTTGTACTAAGGTAGTGCCTTACCTACTTTAGCCTTACTTACTTTTGACTTTTCACCGTCTGGGCAAATGTCAACACAGTGACCATCTAAGTATCATTGTGAAAATAATTTTGACTTCACAGACCTCTTAAAAGGTCTTAGGGATTTCCGGGAGTCTGTGGACCACGCTTTGGGAATTGCGTTTCATAGAGAGCGTACACCCTAGATTTTATAGCTATGGCTTATTATGAGCCCTCCCCCAACGTACCTACCTAGGTGGATCATTATGAACATGTTTTACTGTAATACATTTTAGCTGCCAATTGAATAGATGCTGATGTTCTCGGAAATTCCTTATGATATCTTTAGAACCTGAACATTTAGGACCTAGAATTGTCCCAAATTCCTCATGATTACTCCCAGTGATATTTTAGAACCTGGGCTTTTGTATCTTTTGTAGATAGTTTTAGATGGACATTGAAGGAACAGCATAAAATAAAATCAATAATAATGGATTTAGAAAGGAGAAAGAAAAATCTTGCATTAAAATTTTCTACTAGAAGATTAAAATTTAATGCACTTATGAAAAAGGTAAGATAAATGTCGATTTCTTCATCAAGTTTTCTTTATCCAGCCAGTGTTACAGCCACTCCATCCTTCATCCTCTTCCTGTCAAAATAGGATTTCCAAGGGTGACCATGGAAAGGGTGAAAGGCTTTGCAGGGAAGGAGATTCTTCCCACATCACGAATGCCACTGAGGATTGTTCAGAATGGGAACCCCTTGCTTACCCAACCATCATTGACGGAAGTCGCCAAAGTCAAGCAAATGCAGAGCATGCTCTACCAAATTCAGAATCACCAGAGGCCGTTTTGCAGCTGAAGTCAACAGAAAGCACCAGGGCACAAAGGCAAGCACAAAAGATCCCAAAGGAAATCTTTAGCTCCCCACCTGTTTCCCAGGTAGGACCACCGCAGGACACCCCCCAGATTGTTCCCGCCGAAACGAACAGTCCTGCTCTGGCACCGGCAGAAAGGAAAGAGACAGTTAACATCCAGGAGGGAAAGGATGAGCTAGAGGAAAAGGAACTGCAAGAACTGTTGTCAAAACTTACAGATGTCTTCACTCTAGAAATGCCGTCAGGTAAGATTTCACAATCAATGGAGGTAGTGATGGCCAGGAATTGAGGCTGCCTTTTAAACACCTAAGTTTTGTTAATGTGGGGAGGGGCAGAAGGAAAGGGAGAGAATCCTCAAGCAGATTGCCTGGTGAGCAAGGAGCCCTATGCAGGGCTCGATCCCACGCCCCTGAGATCATGACCTGAGCCGAAATCAAGAGTTGGACGCTTAACCGACTGAGCCACCCAGGCGTCCCCAAATACTTGATTTTGTAACATTATCCCAACAGCTACAATTCATCTAGTGAGTAACAGTTAGAGTTGTGAACCTTTTGGACATCAGTAGCACCTGTGAACTTCATGTCTAGTATTGCCCAGTTCACAGGGTTCTTGTGAGCATTAACAGAGATAGACCATAAGAGATTTTGCTATAGCACCTAACACAATCCAAGCATTCAATGATAGGAAATAACTACAAATACTTTAGAAATCAGCAGCTTTCATAAGCTGAACTGGAGACACAAAAAGAAAAAAATAAAAATGAGATGAAGACGTCAAGCACTAAAAGACTTTTCTAGGAAAAACAGCCAAGTTTTTATGTGAAATATAAAATATGAAATTATAAAATATAAATAAATAACCAATATTAGATAATTTTGTTGTAGTAGTTATTATTGTCAATAGTACTACAACAAATATAGCTGGGCGGCCTGATGTTACCACTTGAAAATGGGGGTACTAATGATGCTCTTTCTAGAGGGTCATCGATTAAGTTTCTCTAATGTAAGTAGTACCATCTTCATCATCACCATCTTCTTCATAAGCTACAGCTCATTGCTAAGTTCTGAGGGCTCTTTTTAAAAATATTTTTAAACTATAGTTATTTCTTCTGTTTTGGACTAACACTGTCTTATTTATAGTGTTTTGTTACCTTAATGTATCTATATACCTATATCCGTGTCTTTTTTGGAAGCTTCAGATCTTTTATGTTTGAGGGATCATCTAGAGATTTGCGATAAAACAAAGGGTAACATTCTCATGTGTTTCCGAATCGAAGGAAAATATTTTTTTTTAAAGATTTATTTATTTATTTATTTGAGGGCGTGAGAATGAGAAAAAGTACATGAGAGGGGGGAGGGTCAGAGGGAGAAGCAGGCTCCTCGCTGAGCAGGGAGCCCGATGCGGGACTCGACCCCGGGACTCCAGGATCATGACCTGAGCCGAAGGCAGTTGCTTAACCAACTGAGCCACCCAGGCGCCCCTCGAAGGAAAATATTTTGCTTCTCAAAATATTTCTGAATTGGTGATGAGTTTGCTAGAGCTGCCATAACAAAGTACCTACCACAGGCTGGGTAGCTTCAACATCACAAATTCATTTTCTCACAGTCCTGGAGGCTAGAAATCTGAGATCAAGGTGTCCCTCTGTGGGCGCCCCTATACAAATTTGCTCTTTTTATAAAGACACTACTCATATTGGATTAGGACCCACCCACATAACTTCATTTTAATTTAATTAACTCTTTAAAGAATCTACTCCAAATATATTCACATTCTGAGGTACGGGGGTGAGGACTTCCACATAAGAATTTAGAGAAGGAGACACAATCCAGCCCATAACAGTTGGAGACCTCTAAAATCAGGACATCATAATGTCAGTTGTATATTGAAGTTGGCAGAGCCGAGTCAATGAAGTCATTATTTGGTGATTCTAAAACTCTCTACTGTGAAGAGTTGGAGTTAGTATTAGAGAAGACAAGATCACAAAGATGCCAGAAGCATGCTCAGACTGCCTGAGACAAAGACAGGGTGGGAACTCCTTGTACCTGATTCTGAGGCCGACACGAAGTTCCACCCACTGTGTTTCCATCTTAACTTCTTCGGGGTCACGACGAGCACTCAAAGCAAAGTCAACATCTACTTAAACTTCTTAGGAAAATTTCACATAAAAATTTGACTTTTATTCTACAAAAGTCTTTTAGTCTTTAACATCTTCATTTTAATTTTTTGTTAGGTTTCTCCAGCTGAGCGTATAAAAGCTGCTGGTTCCTCACAGCCCTCACAAATCAAGTAGGCTGTGTTGCACATTCCAGATTGCTAATAAGCTAGGTCGACTACACACGTTGGGAAGACATTGTCCTAACACTTAGGCAGTTTGCATATTTTAAGTTACTTTATCAAAGTCTATTTATAAAAAAAAAATCTGTATCTCTATATATACACACATGATTATATTATTAAAAGGAAAATCATGAAAGGGTAAAGCTTATTTCTGCATTTAGATGATGCAATAATAATGTATAAAGATGCAGTTAGCATTGTCCAATCTTGTAGAAAATGCAAAAAAAAAAAAGTCTCAAAAAATTACCTCATCTTCCACTTAAAATTTAAGTAAAACCATTGAGATGCTTCTGCTGGAACTATGCATTATTATACAAAAGTGCTTATAATGTTAGCTAGGCTCTATCCCAGGACCCTGAGCTGAAGGCAGACGCTTAAACTGCTGAGCCACCCAGGCGCCCCTCCTTAATGTTTTTAAGCATAGGATCTATGTTAATCTCCATGACTATTTGCATTTATTAAACACTGTTACTCCTCACTCAAACATTTCTAAGTAAGTTTTTATCTTTGTTCAATCTGGTTTTGAATATGATCTTGTTTGCAAATTCTACTTAGCCATTGGCAATATAGATTATAAAAGTACACTCCATAATTTATGCATAATCTATGCATGCTTACCAAAATTACATCAAACCTAATCAGAACCAGAAGTGTGATAACCACACTGATGAAGAGGCGGAAAGGCAAACAAACTAAATTAAGGTATTGGTTACCTTTGTTTTATTTCTCGGTCATGGATGCATCAAATAATAGCAGGAAGTTTTTGGTCATTTTACTGCTCCAGTGTTTTGTTTTGTTTTTAACTTGAGAATTATTTGGAAAATTAGAAAGTTCCACTGCTTGTAACATGTTAAGACTTACTCAGACAGTGTCAACATCTCTAGCCAGTGTTGTGATCATCCTGGTGATTCAGGCAGGCTGGACCAGCCAAGAGAATCCTTGGCTTCACCCAGGGTGGAAATCAAATGGGAGCCACCAGGATGTGAAAGCAGATTTTATTGAAGATATATATATAGAGAGAGAGAGACAGAGTGTCCAGGAGACTCAGAAAGGAAAAGAGGGAGTCTCGTCTTTGCTTGGGGTCTGGGCTTCTCCTCGGCAATTGTGGTGTGGTGCGCGTGTCCTCTCAGGCATGTAGGAACTGGACAGAACAAGGACAGGGTCCAGATGTCCATCATAAGCCCTTATTCCTGGCGCCAGGAGGTCTTGGCATTGTGATGTCTAGTGCCAGTGGTCTGGACAGGCACATAATGGCTTTGCCCGGTCATTCCCTAGATACCATCTACTGTGCTGGAAGACCCCAAAGATATCATTATCTCTTTGTCCCTTACAAGGAAGATATACAATAAGGCATGTATAGGGAGGGGGTGCAGGTCCTAGCAAGAGTAACAGCAGGAAAAGAAGCAAAGGGGAAAAAAAAAAAATATAGCCTTTTCCTTCACAGGATCCCTTTGGTTTCCCTGTCTCGCTGTAGCTGACTCTCCTTTTATTTCTTTTTTTTTAAATTTAAATTCAATTAACCAACATATAGTACATCATTAGTTTCAGAGGTAGAGTTCAGTTATTCATCAGTTGCCTATAACACCCAGTGTTCATTACATCACGTGCCCTCCTTAATGCCCATCACCCAGTTACCCCATCCCCCCAGCCACCTCCCCTCCAGCAACCTTCAGTTTGTTTCCTACAGTTAAGATTCTCTCATGGTTTTTCTCCCTCTCTGATTTCTTCCTATTCAGTTTTCTCTCCCTTCCCCTATGATCCACTGCGTTGTTTCTTATATTCCACATATGAGTAAAACCATATGATAATTATGCTGAGCAAAGTAAGTCAATCGGAGCTGACTATCCTTTTAGATTGGAGTTTTGCTAAGGAGTCAACACATTTTGGAAATTAAGATGAACTTTACATTAATTAAAAGCTTAATAAGACTAAAACAGCAAGCCTGATGGTCAGTTTGCAGGCAGTTGTAGACATTTACTGAATACAGTCATTCAATATCAAGACAGGATAATAGGATGTCACGAGACTATGAGAGTTTAATAGAAAGTATGTAGAAGAGGTTCCCCAAGCCTCTTTAAATTCCAAATGTTGGGTTAAAAATCAGTAGCAAACAATTTGCTTACACTTGCAGTAAAAGAATTCAATTTGATAGTGTCTAACACTATTTGCTTCTGTGGTGACAAAAAAAAAAAAGACATAATACTCTAATTTTATTTTTTCATGAAATTATTTTCATTCCATTTGTGAGTGAAATTTCCTGTGTCATCTCTGAAATCCTTTTCCCAGCTTCTCTCCCATCCCTCTTTGTCATCCGTTTGTCACTGTACGTTTTAAGAATGAGAAGGGAAGTCCAGGGAGTGGATGTGGGATGGTTCTTCTTGGTCCTTTCTTCTTCACATGAAACCATCATCAACATTATTATTATAAATAATCAGAAAATGAAGCTTGAACTTCAGCAAATTCCAAGAAAATAAAGAGCAGTGCAAGCTCAGGAGAGAGAAGTGCAACACTGTATTTTTAGCTCACTTATTTAAGAAGGTAGTCTGCTCAAATATTGCCTGGGAATCCCTGGGGGGTGTATACTGAAATCTTGTTGAATCTTTCTCTGTCTCTCTCACTCTCTCTCAAACATATATATGTATGTATGTACGTATGTATGTACGTATGTATGAAAAAGTAGAAGCAATTGCTCTCGATGGGAGAAGATACAGACTTCCAGCAATGAAGCTCCATGAAGGTAGAAAAAATATTTCTAATTGATTCATCATTCATCATTCATTTGTTCATTCAACAAATATTCCTCCAGCATTTACTATGTGCTGGACACTGGGCATTCATTTTGAAAGGGGTACATTACGTTTTTAAGATACTCTAGCTTTAAAAAAAAAAAAAAAAGATACTCTGGCATTGTGTGGAGAATAATTTGAGGAAGGGCAAGGGGGTGAGCGCAGAGACCAGGTAAAAGCCTGTTGTAATCTAGGCAGGAAATGGTGGTGGCTTGGCCTGGGGGGTTGGGGATATACTTATTGCAATGGGGAGAGCGGAGATGGGGGACGGCACATCAAGAGTTCTGTTTGGATCACGTTAAGTGTGAGTTTCCTGAGAGACATCGAAATAGGAATATCAGAGTGCCTGCCCATCAACGTATACAATCTGGAGCTCACGGGAGAAGTCTTAGTAGAGTAGATATTCAATACATATGGGTTTGCTTAATTAGTTATTGTTGTAAGGAAGACACAGGCTCAAAATTTCCATTTCCCAGCAGAGTAATCCTAGACTAGATAACCTAATACTTTTTCATCTCTATATCTATCATTCTGGTAGCCTCCTCTCACATCCCTGATTCATTCAGAGACCAGATAGATTTTTAATTACATTGAAGTGAATTATTCCATTTGTATTTCCTTTGGACTGTCAATTTCACAGGTATTTCTAACATCTCATTAGGCTACCATCTGTGCTGTACATTAATTCAGTCCCAACATGTACGGAATCCCAGGTGTATGCCAAGCATCATGCTAGGTTCTAGGTGGACATGTATCTTTGGCTTTTTTTTTTTAACATTTCAAGAGACTGAAGCTTAAAAAGAAAACAGCCAAATAATAAGAAAAACGTCCCATGAATGAAATGGATTGTTGCTTTCCTATTTCTTTATTGCTGTATTTTAAGTTTTTTTCACTGTGGGCTGAGAAGCAGAATATCCTAAAATAAGTTTTCCTCTGGACAAGGCAATAAAATATTATTTATTCAAGGTTCTTATAGTTCTGGAACAGTGTTAAAGAATAGATAGGTTTAAAAAGCCATGAATCCTCTCCTCTTATGTTCAACAGAAAACAGCCATTATATAAATTATGTAACTAAATTATGTAACTAATAAGTCTTTCTAAGCTTTCATTCCCTGCGATTTTGTTTTTTATTAATTACACAAATAATGTTCTACTACATGTTCATCACAGTATTAAAATGCCTAAGTGTACAGGATTTTTAAAAAATGGATTCATTCATTTTGTCCTTCATTCCTTGCCACCAGTTTCTCAAACATAATGACTGTTAACAGTTTAGTGAGTTTTCCTTCCAGCTTTTTTCTCTGTATATTTGTATGTCTTTCCTTTCTCAACGTAAGTTAGGTAGTTCTTGTGCTTTTTTTTTTCCACTTGACAATATACCTTAGACATTGAGCAATTTCATTTTTTATCACAGTGTATAAATGTACCCTAATTTATTTATTGGTTTATAATTAAGTTGCTTCTAATTTTTTATTGTGATAAGAATGGTTTGGTGTCTTTATGACCTATATCTTTGTATTCATATGTGAATATATTTGTAGGATCAATTCCTAGAAATGTAATTCTTAGGTTAAAAATTACACATATCAAACTTTTGGTTGATAACTGACACACTGTAGATATTTCTACAGCACAATCCTTATTATAATAGATCATAGGGGACCACTCCAACCATTCATTAGTAGCTACCCAGCAGAGGTTCTCAAAGCATGGTCCCTAGACCAAGGGCATCAGAATCACCTGGGACCATATTAGAAATGCAAATTCTTGGGCCCCTCCCTGATAGACTATATTAGCTAGGGATCTCCAGAGGAACAAAACCAATAAGATAGAGATATAGAAAGAGACTTACTTTAAGGAATTGGCTCATGTGATCGTGGAATTGGGAATTGGAAACCTAGAGGAATGAGTGGGTGTGGTTCCATTGCCAAAGCTGGCAGGCTAGAGACTTAGGAAGAGCTGATATCCCCATTGGAAGCTGAAGGCAGAAGAAAACTGATGTGACAGCCACAAGGCAGTCAGGCAGAAGGAATTCTCTTACTCAGCTTTTCTACTTGATTCAGGCCTTCAACTGATTGGATGAGGCCCAACCACATTAGGGAGGGCAATCTGCTGTAGTCAGTCTGCAGATTCAAATATTAAATCTCCTCCAGAAACACCCCCACAGCACACCCAGAATTAACATTTGACCAAACCTCTGGGCATTAGTAGCCAATCAGGTTGAGGCATAAAATTAGCCATCTTATGTACGGAATCAGAGCTCTCAGAGTAGGAGCCAGCAATCTGTTTTTACATCCTCCAGGTGATTCTGATAGACATCAGAGTTTGAAGACCGCTGCTCACGAGTGGGCTTTCTGGCTACTCAGATTTGTTCTCAGAGTCATGGAAAAATGCCCTTGAAGAACCTACAACCAAGTTGTATTAGTAACTGATCATGGCAAATCATAGCCATCGTAATTGCCAGCTGGTAGAAAAAGGGCATTGTCATCAGGAACTGGGGAGAGATGGCTTCCACATCTTCTCTGTGCTAGACCTTTAGCTAGATCAGCTTGAAAAGCTACAGGCGCTTTCTCTGAAGGACTCTCCTGTTTTTTGATTTCAGGCCCGCAGCCTTCGGTAAACATGGACCTGTACTTTGGAGCTGAGTGGGTGTGCAAGGCCTTCTCTGCCCTTGTTGATCAAATCACCTTGTCTGACTTGAAGTGATAAGGAGTCCTGGCTCAAAGGCCCCTTGGGATGATGATGAAACATATTTTCAAAATCTATACTAAAAGAATTAAGCCTTTTGCCTCTCAATAATTTGGTGTGAAGCGTGAAGAAAATGAGTTTTATTTTTTAATCTCCCTACTCATGTGTCTTAGTTCTTCAGTTCAGAGTAAATCCTTGGGAGTGAGCGGTGGTAGAGGGAAATGGAAAGAAGAGGCCAAGTTAAATCTAAGTGTGCTGAGTTTCCAATAGAGGGCTTTTCTTAATTTGAATGCCTTGGTAGTGATATTCAAGTGTGTGATTTACATGAATTCATGCAACTGTCTTCTTCAGGTATCATTTAAATTAGTGAATCGATGACCAGATTTTCTATCTGGATGCTCCTGATGGAGAACAGGCTTGGCAAAGAACGAAACACACACACACACACACACAAACACACACAATTGAGTATATGCAAAACTGGTGAAATCTGAATAAACTCCGTGGATTGTACCAATGTCAGTTTTCTGGTTGCATTATTGTACTATAATTATGCAAGATGTTACTACCCTTGAGGGAAACTGGATGAAGAGTATACAGGATGTCTCTGTATTATTTCTTATAACTGTATATGAATCAACAATTATCTCAGAATAAATTTATTTTGAAAGCATGAACATTTCTTGCTAAAATCCTATATCCAATGAGTTTGGCTAAAGTACCTGTCAGCCTACTTTCTCTGCATGTATGATTGGGGTATAGATGTTTAATTTAATAATGTCCAAAGATATAGCTAATAGTTTTTTGACTATTAGAGCACTTACTTTCTAAGCACCTTATAAGTACGAACTCATTTAATCCTCACAACAAAACTAGCAAGTAGATATCTCATTTTATGAGGAAACTATGGCACAAAGAGGGTCAGTAACTTGTTGAAAGTTGCTTGGCCAGTAGTTGATGAAGTTGAGATTTGAATCCGGCTTCTGAGCCTATCCTCTGCTCCGTACTTTCTCTCAAGAAATATTGCTCTGATTCCAGTCTTTTGCATATTATCTGATGTGCAACCCATGTTGCATTTAGAGAGGCTATGGATTTTTATTTATGTGATCTGTAATTTCTAATACTGTTCCAGAAGAAAATAATGTCCAGTTGAATAAGATTAGGACTAGGTTATCCCTGTTCAATCTCATGCTAATATTTGCTTTTCAGCCTATTACAAATCTTTTATTTTTATTTTATTCACTGTCCTTCTCACTTTATCCCACTTTATCCCAAGGTTACTTTATCCCAGTAACCTTGCTCCTTGCAAGTTTAATAAGCATCCCCTAAAACACTGATCAGCAAGCCACACCCCACACACCAAATCCTGCCCACTGCCTGTTTTGTCCAAGCTATGAACTAAGAGTGGTTATTACATCTTAAAAAATGGTTGAAAGAGTCAAAAGAGGAATATATTGGGATACCTGAAAATGGTATGAATTCAGATTTCACTGTCCATAAACAAAGCCATGCTCATTCATTCACATAGTGTCTATGGTTACTTGTATTCTACAAAAGCAGAATTGAACATTAGTTGCAGCAGAGACCAGATGGCCTACAATCATATGATATTTGCTATCTGATCCTTTACAGAAAAATTGGCAGCCCCTGTTGTACAATACCCAGGAGAGGAAGGGGCAAAGGGCAGGCTTTTCTGAGAGCAAGAGTGGCATTTCTTCCATGATTTATAAGAGATAATAAGTTTATATGATGGTTTTTAGGAATGTGATGAAAGGTATTAGAGAAAGTGGCACGAAAGTAGAACCATGAGTCCACATAGAAATACAATGGGGCAGTTTTTAACATGCTCATTCTCCTAACCAAGAGAAGCTGAAGTTGGTTCCCCTCCCCACTTCCTTCCCCAGACTCTTTTCCCCTGTTATTAGGACTTGTTTAATTCTCCCTTTCTTTTTCTTTTTTTTTGCTTTGTTAGCATCTCTATTGAAGTGTAACAGACATACAATAAACTGCATGTATTTAAGATGTACAGTCTTAAGTTTTGACATATTATACCCTTGTGAAACTGTCACCACAATCAAGTCATGAACATATCCATCACCCCCAAGAATTTCTTCAAGCACTGATTGTTGAAAAGACTACCCTTTCTCCACTGAATTGCCTTTGCACTTTTATCTAAGGAATATCTAAATAAATATACTCCGATAACCTTTAGATGAGGTTTTTAGTTTAAGGAGGCCCCTCAACCTTCTGTGAAAAAACATTTACTGACACTTCCTTTAGATCTGGAAAATGCAAGTAAATTGCTAACGTATCTGAAATTCAAACTGATTGTCAAGTATCAGTTGTGATAGAACAATTGGAAAGAAGAAATAGAGATAAAAAATCACATTGTGTCTGGATCTCAAATACATTTGCGCATTGGGCTTCTCTACTGTGAACCTCATCGGGTCTGTTCATTTTTCAGGGAAAACTTTTTTATGGATTCTTTTATTATAATGCTGTTCATTTTACTTTTAGTTTGCTTTGCAAACTAACCACTTAGGGAGTTTTAATATCTAATCAAATAGAAAACACGCTAATTGGAAAATACTTATACTTACTGTTATTTTATTAGAGTTTAGATTATCAGTAATGGTAACACCAAATATTGAAATAAAGAGATTCCAAAAATGTTACTTGGGGTCCAGAGCTTTGATTAATTTTGTTTCCATTAGAAGAATGCTTTATTTGCCATTTGTGTCCATGTTTTTTGTTTGTTTGTTCTTTGTTTCATATAGTATTCAAAAATATTCTTTCAAACAAGATTTAGGTATTACAGACAGACAGGGTAATTAATAAATATAGTCCTTTCTATGCCTATACACAAGCTGTGGTTAATGGCTTGGAAGTCATGCGGTGCATTCAAGTTAAATGTATGGCCCTCTATTTCATTAACAATATCCAGCATCCCAGAGCAATTTATCAGAGTGAATTCAGTCTGACTTGCCCAATCCCCTGGTCCTCTTTGGAAGCTATTTTAACTCTCTCAGACAGTGGGATGATTTGGCAGTAAAGCCACCATTTGAAGGAACACGCTAGCAGGCTTAAGTAGTACTCTGAGAGGATGTGGCTTATGATTTATCTCTGGACATTCCCACCATTTCAAGTAAACAAATGGTCAATAGTCAAGAGAAGCGTGGATTGTTTTTAATTCCAAGATGTGAGTTAGCTCGGAGGTTAGATTTATTTTCTTTTTATTTCCAGGCCACTGGCGACTTTTCCGATGAACTTAGACCCACTCCTGTGCAAGTGCATGCCCATCAAACCTTTAATCAACTCTTTGTTCTTTACGAAAGGTGTTCTTAGTTGCTGAGAATATGCACCTGAAAGTAGAGAAAAGGAACTCATTATTAGAGCACCAAATTATTCTCAGGTTAATTAAATATCAATACATTGGGTTTAAAAGAAAGTTTGTTGGGGCACCTGGGTGGCTAGGTCATTTGAGCGTCTGACTCTTGGTTTTGGCTCAGGTCATGATCTCATGGGTCATGGGATCAAGCCCCGCCTCAGAGGGAAGTCTGCTTGAAGATTCTCTCCCTCTGCCCCTCCCCCCCACTCTCTCCCTCTCTCCCTCTCTTTCTCTCTCCAATAAATCTTTAAAAATAAAAAATAAAGTTTGTTGTTTCTGTCACTATCAAAGTCTCTATAAATTTATTGCAGGAGCGTATATGTAAATCTGTTTATGTGTCCTTTGCAGTTAAATAAGATAAAGTAAATTATAATAAATACATTTCCTTGTTAATTAATATATGTATTAAGATTTTTTTCTGATTAAAAAGGTAAAATTGATCATATTTTTTATATTAAAGTTTTATGCATATACACTTTATGCCATAATTTAGTCAACCATTACATTTAAACAATTTCCAAGTTTTCTGCTGTTATAAGCAGTATTGCAGTGAAACTTTGTACTACATTGTTGGCCACATCTCTGAATGTTTCCTTAGGATAGATTTCTAGATGAGTAATTTCTGAAGATGTTCCTAGGAAATTCTTGGAATAAGTAAGGTAAAAAAACAAGCATTTGTGAAACTAATTATATATATATATATATCCCTGAAGCACTGTTTTCTCTAATGCTTGGTGTTGAAAAAATAAATACTAACATTTGCCAGCTAGTTAGGTACCAACTGCAAATATCATCAAATTATAAATCTAAATTTTAATTTTCTCATCATGAAGGAATGCAAAGACTCACAATTTTTCAAAAATATTAAACTGCCAGTCTCAGGCAGGCAGGTTTTTCTGTTTCTCTCACTGGCAGAGCAAGGTTAGTTGAAGGAAAAGGCCGTTATTTTTTGATGAAAACAAGGATATACTTCAAAATCCCTTATCAGCATATTCTTTTCCTAAATCAATTAATAACTCTCTCTTTCACTCTCTCTTTCTCTCTGCCTTGACATGATGCATCATAATTTAGTGGTTAAGCTGGGTTACACCCTCTTCACACCTTCTGGATATTTCAGCATTCAGTTATTGACTCATATCTTTCTAGACTAAATAACAATGATCTTTTGAGTCTTTCCCCAAGTGATGATATCTCTAGCCCTCGGAATTTTTGGAATTCTCATTTCTGGATGCCCTCTGTTCCTGCTGAGCATTGTTATAAACAACTAAAGTATCCAGGTCATCACCCAGCTCAATAAGCTGTCCTTGGGGTCAAGCTCTTCCGGACTCTCTCCCTAGTTAAATACATGCCTTTCATAAATTCCTTTTTTATAGAATCGCAGAGCATTAGAATGGAGAATGTAAAGAGACTTTATGGGCCTTCTAATTCTTTCCACATCCCTCTTTTTCAGTTGAAGAAACTGAGGGTTACATAAGTTAATGAAGTTGACTGAGTTACATAGCTATTTAATATCTCTTGTTTTCATATTTGTTGGCCCAGTATTTACAAATATATTAACGTACAAAATTATATAGGAGTTTTATGTTTGACAAAGCATGATTCATAGCAACATTTCTCAAGTGTGTTTAAACTATTTAAATTTGAGGGGCGCCTGGGTGGCTCAGTGGGTTGGACGTCTGCCTTCGGCTCAGGTCATGATCCCAGGGTCCTGGAATCGAGTCCCAAACAGGGCTCCCTGTTCAGCGGGAAGTCTGCTTCTCCCTCTCCCTCTGCGTGCCACAACCCCCCCGCTTTTATTCTCTCTCTGTCAAATAAATAAAACCTTAAAAAAATAAACTATTTAAATTTGAGGACATCAAAATAACAAAAACCTTTTTGCATATTATGTAGACACATTAGTTCTTTCCTTCTGCTCTGGTGATTTGATTTCCCCGAGAACTATAGAGACAAACACCTCTTCACCCTCACCCCCATCCCAACCTGGTAATATATTAATCCCCCAAGGACAATAGAAAAAATTAGTGGAGAATCTGTGCCGGTACATCCAGAGCCCAGTTGAGCCACTAGAGATTTAATCAAACCTCTTGAGATGAAATCTCAATGTTCCAGCAACTATTTAACTTTTAGCCATGGTGTCTCCTTGACCCAGGTCCCTCTTTGACTGTGATTATACAATCCAAATGGAAAGTCTTGTTTCCTGATCTACAAACAATCGTTTATGTCAAACATTAAAATAACTTCAATAAGTAAAATACTCCCTCCTGCTACATAGCCACTCTGGCTAAAGTTTGCAGACCAGCTGGGTCAACAGCAACTCTGTAGCAAGAGAAAAGAAGTGGTTCCCTAAGCTGAAGATAAATCTACTACCTTAAAAAAAGAAGAAGAAGAAGAAGAAGATAGAAATGCTATGTTGAAATATGCTCAAAAAATTACATGTAGCTTCAGACTGTTCTGATAGCAACATTGCAAGCAAGTAAACTGAAAGCTATTTTAGAGAAAGACCTTGTGTGCGTATATAATTATTTTCATGATCGTCTGAACACAAATATTATTTTCATTTATTCTATAGTTACTTTAGTAATTTAAAGTGAGTGCAAAATACAAAAAAAAATAAATAAATATTGGTGGTGACGAGTATGACAACTAAATATGATAAGAATGGAAAAAGGAGTCCTATACTACAAACGAAGAAAATATCCAATTCTATGGATGCTGATGTCTGAACAGCCTCTGTTTAAAATGGTTTTTAAGTATTGGTAACCAACATTGAAAGACACTTATTTTTTTATTTCTTTAGTAGCTAAGCTGGTAAAAGAATATTTCCTCTAAAAATGGAAATTGGTGTAAGTTACAATAACACTTGCCAAAATAATAAATTTATCTATAAAGTACAGCAGTGGATTATCTAGTTTAATGGATCAGCAAATCATGAGGATTTTTAGTTAGTGAGGTTAAAACAAACTAGATATATAAAGGCTCTACAATATCTTGGGAAAGGATTGATATAGAACTATTACTGTTAAGTGCTATTCTAAGAGAGAAATTATGGGGATATATAACAATTCTTGCAATAAAATATACTAATGTAAAAATTAGTTATGCCTCAGTTTTGCACTAGTGGATAAGTAATTCTAAGAGTTACTACCACCCAAACAGCCTTTGCTGCAAGGATTAGAAGCTCATTGGTTGAAACAACATTTAAAAAGGAACAAAAACAATATGAATAGGGCTAAGTTATCTATCTCTCAGCTTACTCACAGGGGCTTATTTGCTCTAATCCTAATTCTATAAAGGATATTTCTTTTAGTGCCCCCAGAGAAGACTGTTTTTGAATATAATATTTGCACCAGTGAGAATCTCTAAATTTGTCAGAAATTCCAAATTACTAAAAATTAATCACTCTGCTTGCTGGAAGTTAATTACATATTTGAGATTTATTCAAAAAGCAACAAGGAGTGAATTTGCAAGCCAGCCTATTTTTCTGCCCTTCATTTCACCAACTAAATACATCGCAAGGAGCCCCTCCATTTACATGGAAGCCATTTTTTTTTCTATTTAAAAGGGGTGAGAGCTTGTGTGTTGTGAATATTCCCCAGACTTACATTCAAATCTTCCCAAATCCATAGCACGTAAAGACAGGTTATGACTGCTAATATTCAGGCTAATCACTTAATACTTTTGTGTTGTATTTTGGGACTCATGCTTCTCCTTCCTTGTCTTTTTACTCTTCCTTGCTACTGTTCACATGAAGTATGAGAATGAGGACAATATGTTGATATAAACAGCTGCCATGAAATACAAAAGGAAGTGCTATCTTCCTATCACTTGTGTGCTTTTGTGTGCTCTTGGGTTCACTCCTGAGAGTGCAATGAATTCCCCTAAAGCCATTTCCCCCTTCCTCACAATTGAGCACATTCATACTTGATTGACCCTTTTGAAAGACATGGGACCTAGAGTTGACCACCTTGTTTTATTCCTGTGTGCTGTGGATGCACTGCTGAAATCTTCTCTTCCTTCCCAGTCAATTGCCTCCTTCCTAAGCCATGGTTCCTGGAGAGGACACAGTCCACATAGATGTCCCAGAAGAGTTGGGCCAGATCCCAAAACAGTGCCCCATGCTTCAAGTTCTCAGATGACTTCAGGTAGATCATAAAATCCCAGAAACCTGAAACAGTGTTAGAAATTCGAGGCTTCCGCATTTCCAGGAGGAGCACTGAAGAAGATTCCCAGCACTGAGGATCAGCTTGGTTAAGAGCCAGCAGGTCTGTCTGGCTATGGCAGAAGAAAGGAGACACACAGCACATTCCCACAATGAGCAGGGAGCAGATAAGGGTCAAGGGGCGGTAGATCCCTCTTCTGTTCCCAGGATTGGCCATGGCGCTGAAACTGCATAGAATGGAAATATCTTACAAATCCTTGCTTGAGCTCCACTCAGTAATGAAAATAATTATGCCTTTAAAAACCTTGGTGCCAGCAAAGGAAATACACCAGTGTCCTTAGGAAAAGTCTTATCGTTCCTCCCATAAGTCCCATTCTATCTAAAATGACTCATTGCCAAGCCAGGTAGTATAAAACCAAGATATTTAGATTAGGAAGTGTTTATTCCTAAGACATGTTCCCTTATGAGATGAATAAGTGAATTTGTTTTTCCCTAGTACAGAGGAACATAATTTAAAAGAACATTAAGTAAAAATGTAAAATCTTGCTGCATGGCTTTAATTATTCTATAACATCATAGTTTAGCTTACCTATTCTAATCCAGGACTCCCATGCAATTAAGAATTTTAATATATTTTATCCTTAGGTGTTTTCCTATTTGGGGTGACTTTCAATTTTTAAAAAGCATAAGAATTGTAAAATGTTCTAAATAAAAATGAACATAAGGTAGTGTGCTAAAAGTATGGGAACCAAGGGGTATATATTCAATCCACTAGAGTAGAATCAATTGACATTTTATCAACACCTAAAAATGCTCTACGATTCTGATATAACTTTCATAAAGATAATGTTTTATCATTTTTTTCTTCTTGCTATGAATCTCAAGAATTTTAATGAAAACATTTGCCTCTCAGTCAACTTTTCTGGCTCTCAAAGCCTGCTGCAATAAAATTAAACTATATAGGGGCCCCTGGGTGGCTCAGTTGGTTGGTTGGGCCTAGGACTCTTTGTTTCGGCTCAGGTCATGATCTCATGAGTGGTGGGGTCAAGCCCTGCCCTTCACCCCCATCCCCTCCATGCTTAGCAGAGAATCTGCTTGAAGATTCTCTCCCTCTCCCCCATCCTCCCCACTCTCTCTCTAATAAATAAATAAATCTTTAAAAAATTAAACTATATAGCACTTTGAAATTATTGTTACACTTCAGACAAGTGTAATGAGAAATAATGTCCCTAAAATAATACTAATCTTATCTGACTCTTTAAGGCTACCCAAAATGTATATCACACTTAAACAACTCTAACATAAAGGAAAAACAGGAGGACATATAAGCTCACTTTCAGTTTTATCTTATATTTCCCAAACCTTTTAGATGTGAGTGTCAAGAAGGCAAGCAAGGCACAGCTCATGGGAATACATCTATACTGGAACATTTAAGGATAACACCATAAGAATGAATCTTTCTCTTCTACACAGCAGCAGAACACACTGAGGCACCCTTAAATCAGTATTTCAGGAATGCCTTTGAACATGCACATTCCTATTTGGAAGAGGCATGTTGAGAATCAAGGTTATTCAAAAATATTTCAGATCACTTACACAGGATTTCTCCCTGAACAAAATTATATTCAATATGTCCTCTTCTGAACTAAAATATCAAAGTCGAGTTGCCCCAAAGGCTGTTTATTCTTAGGGAACATGTCCAAGGGTCAGTGCTAAGTTATTGGAAGACAGAGGGCGGGACGCTGTCCAGTGTGCTGAAGTTAGTGTAGTCCAGGACTCCCTGTCTGCTCCCACCGCAGCACTCATATCGGCTCCTTTAGGTTCCCTTCTCAGGACAGTCTTCCCCGAGCCTGGAAGTTCCTCAGCCCTGGGGTCCTTCGTGCGCCCCGCTACAAGCCCCGCGCTGGGCTCGCTGCGTCCCGATCCCACACTTGGTTCAATGGCCTCACCCTCTTTAGGGCGGAGCTGCCAAGGACCCACTGTGTCCTTTGTGCCCCATTATTTTCTTTACACGGAGGCTCAACTCCCAGGTCGCAGGAGGGCACCCCTTCGCACTTACCGGCTCAACCCTCCCTGGATTCCCTGGAGTGTGTGAAGAGGAAAAGCTCAGGCTGCTTCCCGAGAGAGTGACGGTCCCCAGCCGCGGCGTCCTGAAGGCTACGGTGCCTCTTAAGCAGTGGGAGTGTTCCGCGCCTCTCCAAGTCTACGTCAAAGCGCCGGGAACTGCTGCCACCTCTCGCCCCCAAGCCCATCTCCGGAACTCTCTTCCTCCCTCCCTCCCCTGGAGATCTCACTTCAGGTAACAAGCAGGCTGAGCCGCACACACCCTCACTGACCCTGACGCACACCTACCCTCCACCCAGTGGAACTGAGTCTTTATGCGGTTTGGCTTCCCAGTCTTACCTCGGAAGGCGCGACGCTCCTGGCAGGAACTGGAAAGTTGGGACCCAGCTCCACGACAGATTAGGAGCGAGTGGGGCTCCCCAGATCCCCAGCCTTCAGGGGAGCCTTGTTTGAGAATAAAGAGATGCAGGACTCTTGGGGTCGGAGAAGGCACGTGGGCACCAGGACAGGGGTGGGGAAGAGCTCAGGGGAAATAGGGCACCTCCTAAAGACATCTGGGTGTGAATTTCTCCTGCCTGCCTGCGGTCCTTGGCTGGGAGGAGAAAAACGCACCTGGGGCAAAGACGGAGGGAGGGAGGGACATGGCGTAGCTGGCAGCTCCCCCCTGTTTGGGGACAGGAGACCCTACTGCCTCCAGCTCTGTGGCCTGGATCCCCTCAGGAGCCCGGGTTGCTGCTGGCATCACGTGTGTCAGCCCACTGCTCCAGATTCACAGCCCCGTCCCTGCTTTCCGCCTGGGACTCCTTTGTGGTGCTCCACTCACAGCTAGTTAATATCTTAGCGTGGGGCTAAGCCCTGTCAAGTATCCAGGGCTCTGCTGGGCATTAGCTCCACCTCAAATGAAACACACCCAGCCTGGAGGCCTAAGGCAAAAGTCCTACCTTTGCAAGTGTTTCCAGGGTTTGCCCCTCACCTCAAAACCCTCTAAGTGTCCTAAAAACCACTTGTAGTCTCCATTAACTGAAAGCTTTTGTGCCAGCTCAATAGTATCCATGGTTACTTTCCAGAGGGGCACAGGGAGGAACCCAGGCTTGTAGCAAGGTTTACTAAAGACAAGAACTGACCAGCTACCCAAGGGATAGAAATAGAGCTCCAAAAAGGATTCCTAAGGGGTTCTGGGCTTTTTTTTTTTCTGCTCTGAAACTGGATGGAGTGTACTTCAGTTTCTCAATCTGTTACCTGAGCATTCTAATGTCTGCTTCTAATTACACCCTAAAGATGGAGCGGAGGAGATAATGGGTGAGGTTTTGAACTTGCTTCCTGGACTTCAAGATGCTCTCAGCTTTTTGGAGAAGGTCATGAGAGAAACACAGGTGTGTGAGCACAGGGAGAACCCTGTGGAAAGGAAAGGGAAAAGAGGGGGAAGAGCAGGTATCTTTGAGGAAGTGACGGATGAACTTCTTGAAGGAGTTATATAGGTGTCCTGGGGCCAAAAGGAGAAGGGACAGTCTCCTCCAGGCAATGAAATCAGAATGAGCAAAGACTTGGAGGGAGCAATCAGGAGTTCTGTGTTTCTAGGGAGAAAAGGAAAGGAAAGGAGTACAAAGAGAGAAGGGAGAACAGAAGTAGGGTTGTGAGGATTTAATTCTGGTTTGGGGCATGTTGGCATTACCTTTGAAAACATTGCTATATAAATATGTAATGCTTACTTTATTTTCCGGTGCCTATGTGCCAAGTACTATTCTAGATGCTATGTATGCAGATGCTATGTATGTATCAAAACCCAGCACAGAGCCCAATGGCCAACTCCGAGCTTGATCTCAAGACCCTGAGATTATGACCTGAGCAGAAACCAAGATCTGGCGCTTAACCAACTGATCCACCCAGGGGCCCCTAGCATCTGACTCTTGATTTCAGCTCAGCTGCTGGTCTCAGGTCCTGGGGTTGAGCCCCACTTGGGGCTTCATGCTCAGTGGGGAGTCTGCTTCTCTCCCTCTCTTTCTCCCTTCCTCTCTCTCTGCCCCTCCCCCCTGCTTGTGCTTCTCTCTCTTTCTAAAATAAGTGGATGAATCTTTTAAAAAATTACATATATTTATAATGATTTGTGTTTCCAGTTCCTGTGTTGAACATTGAGTTTACAGCTATATATCAAAAACACATAACTAATTAAATAAACAAATAGTGCCATGTATGAGTCAATAATGAGAGTCTATCATTCTGAAGCCCCCCAAAAATATATGTGTAATGTGTCACATATGATAAGAAAAAATAAAAGATCATCACGAAAAAGTAAAGCAGGATTGGAAAAAGGTGTGGAGAAGAGCTATTCTATATGGAATACTGAGAAGCGCTTCCTGGTGAGGAAATATTGAGTAAATTCTATTAAGGTGAAAGAGTGAGTCATACATAAACATAGGAACGAATGCTCCATGTAGGGTACAAGGGAAGCATGGAACAAGTGCATTGTGAGAAGTGTTTTCTGGGTATAGCGGTAGGAAGTGAGGCCCGAGGGGTGGTCAGAAACCCATCCTGGCAGCTCAATAATTGACTGGACGGGGCAGGGCAGAGGCAAGGAATACAGTTGGGAGCTGCTACAAAGATTCAGATCAGATATGGCGAGTTCAATAAAGGTGGAGCAGTGGAGTAGCTGAAAGTAAGTGGATTCTGAATATATTTTGAGGATAGAAAAAATGGGACTTATTGATGACATGAAAGCAGACTGCAAGAAAAAGAGAGAAATTGAAGATGGCCTCAAGTTTTGGGAGCTAAACAACTGGAAGTTTGGAATTACCAACAGCCAAGAGAGGAAAAGTGTTTTGAGGAACAAGTTTGAGAAAGAAACATCAAGAATTTGGTTTTCAAGATGTCAAGTTTGAGACGACTGTCATCCAAATGGAGATGCTGAATAGGCAAGGCAAAGGTGGGGACTAATGATGAACACTTGAGATACAGCATTCAAGAAAGAAGTCTAGACTTGGGATTTATGTTTACCCGTAGGCAATAGTTAAAACACTCACAGAAAAGTATGTAAAGTGGGTAAAACAGTAGCCAGAGGATAGAAACTAGGATGTGCCAATATTTAAGTGATTAAGAAACAGAGTTAAAAGGAACCATAATTGTGTGGTGCCTTAGAGGCCAATGAGATAGAGATTTTTCACAAAGAAGGAAGAAATCAACCATATCACACAGATTCAGAAAGGGGGTCAGTAAAATGAAGACAAAGAATTTTCCATTGAGTCTGAAAAATAGGAGGCTGCCAAGTTGCTCATTAGGAGAAAATTTCAACTGAGTGTTCGGGGAGGAGGAGTGGTGGGCTGAGGAGAAATGGAAAGTGAAGAAATGCAGACAGCCCCTATAAAGCACTTTCTATGAGGTTTAGAAAAGAAGAGGAGGAAGGATTGGAACAGAAGATTAGGGGTTAGATCTTTATTATAGTCACAGGCTGAGGGAGAGAAACCACTAGAGAAAGAGAAGTTGAAATTCAGAAGAGAAGGACAACTAACAATCTCAGAGGAAACAAGAAGCAAGGGGAATAAGAGAATTGAAAAAAAAAAAAACCAAAACGCAGTGGTTAACAGAAGGGGGCATAGCTTGCTCTATGAACAAGGAAGAAGGGGGGCTATCTCTGGATATGGATATGTCTGTAGGTAGTATGGTGGGAAGGGGTGCAAGAGTTGAGAGAGATGGTGAGAGATGGTCTCAATTATCTTAATGAATTAAGATGCATAGTCATCCACAAGAAATGAATGAGGGGAGATGTTAAGGAGTGAATTGAAGAGTGAAAAGACTTTGGGATAATTATTGAAGAGAAGAGAGGAGATAAGAGAGACTAAAGAAAGTACTAAAAGCTCAGGCAAAGTTTGAGACCATAAATTCATAACAAACCATTTTGCATGCCTCCCTGGTTTTTATGAGGCAAAATAACTTAACAATGAAGACTTTTATGCTCTGTATCCAAACCGCCTGGGTTTACACCATATCTTTCTCACTTGCCATATTTCATTGATTCTTAGACGCATTTTTTTTCACATTTAACACCACTGAAATCAGAATGTATCTATCAGCTGATGGTACCTTGCAATTAGAATTGCAACATTTTCTTTTGCTTCTTCAAAATAATGGGATGCCTACAGTTGATTGCATCTTTGATTTGATGTAATGTTTTGGGCAAATTGGCCTCTGTGAAACAGTTTTCCTGCCTGTAAATGGGCAAAAATTTCTCTTATGGCTAGTGAAAGTAAAATTAGATCATACACGGCAAATACTTAAAATGGGGCTGCATGTAGCAAGTACTTGAAAAATGCTGGCTATTACTTTTCTCCTGCAGTGTCCATCCAACTTAAGGTAGGAGAAAAGAATGGTCATTATTACATTGATCTAGTGTTAGAGTTTTGTTGAGTAAATGCTGATGAAGAAGGATGCAAAGGACTGAAGGTCATAAAAGCAAATTAGAAAAAGAGACGAGGCTGGGGTGGAGGAGGAAAGACTAGAAGGAAGTAGAGGAAACTGGAAGTCTCGGTGAGGGAGGAAAAAGGGCAGCTGTGAGAGGAATAAAGAAAGAAGGTTCTAGTCAGGGAGAGGGACATTTATGTTTCACACTTTAGAGGTGGAACAGCTCTGAATTCTGAGCACAACCACTGAAATGAGTGACTGAGATGGAGTGAAGGTGGAGACCACTGTAGATGAGCTCCACCTTCCCTGTAGTCTGAAGATAATGAACTGAAATGGTTGCCCCTATTTATAGAAGCTGAGGGTGTGTAACACTGCTGTCCCAACGAGATGGCCTACAACAGCTCCTGCCAATGGGAGTAAAGGCTTTAAAAATATATTTTTTTTAAGTCTAGCTCGTGCCTATTCATATACTTTTTTTTTCAATAATTACTTGGGACTGGAAGTTTTGACCTTCAGTAAAACTTTTACAGTACCACCCTGGAAAATAATGCCCTGATGAAACATTTCTCATAAACACAACTTACCGCCTTGCACTTGAAAATTAAATAGTCATCTTATTGCTTATTTTTATTTAGAAAGGGATCCTAATGACTATATACTCTGTTGTAATGTATATTTAGT